ACGTGCTTACATTAAGTCAGCCCTCACTCACATTAGGCGCCCCAACACCCGGCGCTCGTCGGAGACGGGGTGTCATGGCGGAAGGAACGCAGGGAGAAGACCCTGTAATAGGTGAGGACCCGGAGGAGTCCAGTGAGCAGTTGGAGGACCTGGCAGCAGGCGGCACGGGGGAGGAGTCACCGGTGGTACGGACGAAGGAAAAAGTGTGTGCTCCCATGACCGAGGGTCCAAGAAGCCGGCAGCAACGTCCGGGGGATACGGGGGGCGAATGGTGGTTTAGCCCGACGCTGGGGCTCCCTGAGGATGGCCGCGGATGACGGTTGGCGCCGAACTTTACTGGTTGGAGGGAGCGCCGGGTAACTGGGGACCACGAGGAGGAATGGAGCTGCTCCACAGCCCCGGGGCAGTACACGTTGGATGTGCTCAGGGACCAGTTCGGAGAACGTATATACCCCGCTACTATTCGCAGCCCTGCCAAGGACAGTAGACTTTACACTTCCCAGTTCCAGCTGTCCGGTACAGAGCCCAATCTGCACCCAGACGACCGCTTCACGCTGCGGGACCCGGCTGCACGACAGGCGGGGGCGGAGCGTGCCCGTTATGGAATGGGGGTGCGGGGACTGGGGAACAGGCCGGTAGACCCTGATGGAATGGGAACAGGACCTACAGGGGGAGGAGCAGGGGCTCGCCCTAGGCCATCCCCGGAGGCTGGTCAGTACGGAGGACAAGTGCCAGCTCCCTGGCCCCAGAATATGGTGTGGAACCCTCCCCCGATAACACTCACATTTGACGGGGATCCGGATCGCTTGGCAGTCTTTCTTAGTCATGTACTGAACCACCTGGATCGCTATGCCACCCTGTATTCGTCCAATTGGTCAATGGTGGTTGCAGTCACATCGAGTCTATAGGGGGAGGCAGCTGCATGGGCAGCTGACCTCTATAGTGACCAGGCCAGAGAGCTAGCTGATGTGGGGCTCTTCCTAGATGCATTACGAACCAGGTTCGAAGACCCAACCCGCTTACAATGGGCGGAGGCCCAGTTAGTGGGCCTGCGACAAAGAGGGAGACCGGCAAAAGAATACATCCGTGAGTTCCAGAAAATAGTGGGGAGACTGCGATCGTGGCCGGATCGTCTACTGGTTCACCACTTTCGTACTGGCCTGGATACCGATATACGCCGAGCATGTATAGTTAGAGGGATAGGGGGACGTCTGACCGATTGGTTTAAAGCCGCCGTGGAACTGGACATTGGGTTGCGGGAGCAATCCAGCGGACGTGAGAATAGACCACCACTCCGCCGGAGCCAGGACCAGCCCACAGGCCGGACCGCCCAGGCCGTACCAGAGACAGCGCGCCCGAAGGCCGTCTTTAGGTGTTTCCGATGCAACCGACCAGGGCACCGGGCGGCGGAGTGCGGGCTACCAGCACTAACAGGAACACCAACGGCGATCGGCAAACCAGGGCCTACACCACAGAAAACGGCGGAGAAGTCACGGGTAGCCCACCAAACAGGGCAGACACCAATGCAGCCACCGTCCGGTGGTATATCCCCCATGTTGCAGGAATACGAGGAGGAGGGTCCAGTAGAAGATCCAATGGTGAGTGAACCCATCATCCCATTCACCATTCCAGTAACTCTTACAGGCCCGATTACTGGCGAAGCGAGGTCTTTTCAGGCATTGCTCGATACCGGGTGCACCCGGTGTTTGATTAATAGGGGGGTAGCGCAACAGATGGGGATTAGGGTGACTCGGCTAAAATCCCCGATCCGCTTCGAGCAGGTGGATGGCTCCTTGTTAGGGGGGGCTCCAACCACGTTGGTGACAGAGCCGGTCAGAATGGATGTAGGTGGTCATTGGGAGGTTATCAGATTCATCGTGGTCCCTTCTATGTCAGAACCCCTCATTCTTGGGTTGGCTTGGCTGGATAAGTGGACACCAACCATCTGGTGGGAGGATGGGTCCCGGCGCTTGCGGTTGCCCGTGGGTCCTCAACCGCCATCTCCACCTGACCATAGTGGAGACAAAGGGATGGGCGCTGTGGAACCACTGCCGGATGGGGACAGACCTGGATACCCGTCGGTTTACAATGACCTGGCAGCGGTATTTAGTGAGCATGAGTGTGATAGCCTGCCACCCCATAGGGCAACGGATTGTGCCATTGAACTTATTCCTGGAGCAAAGTTGCCTAATCCCAGAATGTACCCCATGACATTCGCAGAGCTAAAGGAAATGAGGGGGTATATCGATAAAAACCTGGCTAGGGGCTTCATAGAGCCGGCACGCTCTAAGATAGCAGCGCCCGTAATATTCCAGGGGAAAAAGGACGGAGGCTTACGGTTATGTGTCGATTTCAGAGGACTTAACGCGGTATGTGTAGAACCCATTTACCCGCTACCTCTCATGAAAGACCTCCTTGCCCATTTGGCCACTGGCAAGATTTTCACAAAGTTGGATCTCCGTGAGGCATATTATAGGATACGGATTAAGGAAGGAGATGAGTGGAAAACCACCTTTAACTGTCCATTAGGGAGTTATCAGTTCAAGGTGATGCCTTTCGGACTGCAAGGGGCTCCGGCTGTATTCATGCAGTTAATCAACGAAGTGCTGCATGACCATCTTTATAGGGGTGTGCTTAGATGATATACTCATATACTCGCGAACACTGGAGGACCACATACGATTGGTACGGACGGTGTTGAGAAAATTATTGGATGCCAAACTGTACTGTAAAGTATCAAAGTGCGAATTCCACAAAGACCGTATTGACTATTTAGGGTTCCGGGTTTCTGCGATGGGAATAGAGATGGATCCTAATAAGATACACAGTGTATTAGAGTGGCAAGCCCCAAGAACTCGTTGCCAATTACAGCGGTTTTTGGGGTTCGCTAATTCATACCATCCTTCGCTGATGTGGCTCTACCATTGACTCAGTTGTTACGCACCAAGCATACTGCTGGAAAACCCCGGCCAAAACAACCGTTGGAATGGACCATGGCCTGCCAACGGGCCTTTGAAAAGTTAAAAAGCTTATTTGCACAGGAGCCGGTGTTGATACATCCTGACCCGGATAAGCCCTTTATTGTACAGGCTGACGCCAGCGATGTAGCCGTTGGTGCTATTTTGTTGCAGCGTAATGAGCAAAACATGCTACGACCGTGTGCCTACACTTCAAAGAAATTCACTGAAACAGAACGACGTTGGGCAGTGTGGGAAAAAGAGGCATTCGCGGTGAAATGGGCGTTGTCCACCTGGCGCCATCTGTTGGAGGGGGCGCAGCACCCCTTCGAGGTCTGGACGGACCACCAGAACCTAACAGTGCTTCAGACACCAAGAAAACTAGCGCCTAAACACGTCCGATGGGCACAATATTTCCAACGTTTCAGGTTCTGTTTGAAGGTTGTTCCGGGCGGAAAGAACTTTCTAGCAGACGCACTCTCCCGAATGCCCCAATACGATAGCAAGAGGGAACAGGTGGTCCAGGCTGTCATACCTCAGTGTGATAAGGAGTCCAAAAAGGTAGAAGTCTGCACAAAGCTAGCAACGTTTGAAGAGGAAATAAGAACAGCCTTAGTAACCGATCCTTGGCTATCAGCGAATCCCGGTATATTGACCCGTCGTAATGGTTTGGCCTGGTATGGAGATAAGTTATATATCCCTCAGGAAGTGCGGAGTCGAGTATATCATCAATGTCATGACTCCAAAGTAGCAGGTCACTTCGGTTTTGTAAAAACATTACACCTAGCAAGACGGCGATTCTGGTGGCCAAGCTTAAAAAAGATATTGAAACATACGTAAAGGGATGTAGAGTTTGTGCACAGGCAAAGGTAATACCAAAAAGACCAATGGGATTGCTACAGTCAGTGTCTGATCCGGTACGGCCATGGCAGGACATTGGCATGGATTTCATTGTGGAGTTACCAAATGTAAAAGGTTACACGGTTATATGGACGGTGATAGATTTGTTTTCTAAGCAGGCTCATTTTATACCCTGCAAAGGGCTGCCGTCTGCAGCGCAACTAGCAAAACTATTTGTACAACACATTTACCGATTACATGGAGCTCCCCGACGGATCATCTCAGACCGAGGGGTTCAGTTCACGGCTCGATTTTGGCGTCAATTTCTTGCCTGTATTGGAACCACCCAAGGGTTGAGCTCCGCATACCATCCATGTACCAACGGGGCAGCGGAACGAGCCAATGCCGCCATTTCACGATATCTCCGTTGCTATGTATCTCACCAACAGGCGGATTGGATGGACTATATACCCTTTGCCGAGCTAGCTTACAACAACGCAGTGCATAAGAGTACCGGGTTGACCCCCTTTCAAGTAGTATATGGCTACGATCTGAATCCCTTACCAGATTGTGAACCACTGACGTCCCTGGCCAAGAAGCCAGGGGACTGGCTGTCCCGTGCTAGCCAAGTGTGGTATATAGTAAAGAAAGCGCTGACACAGGCAGGACAAACAGCAAAAGAACAGGCAGACAAGAGTCGTAGGATATCAACCCAGTTCCGAGTAGGTGACCAGGTATATCTTTCGACCAAATATCTTAAGTTACAGGTATCCTGCAAGAAGTTGGCGCCGAAATACGTTGGTCCATTTCGCATAATACGCATCATTAATCCTGTTACGGTGTAACTCCAAATGCCGAGCTTCCTTGGTAGAATACATCCGGTCTTCCACGTGAGTTTGTTAAAGCCGATAGGAAGGGACAGGTATACAGACCCTCCTGGGCCCATAACTCCGGGACAGTATGAAATACAGGATATAATGGACTCACGATGGCGGGGGGGCAAAGTATACTACCTGATATTATGGAAAGGATATCCCCTATCCGATGCCTCATGGGTGCAGAGTGAAAAGGTCTTCGCCCCGGAGCTGCTCCGAAGATACCATAAAATATGGCCAAATAAGCCGAAACCTAACGGGGGGGGGTTAGGTAGTATATGGATCTTGTTACCCAAACGATATTTTAACCTGTAACGTTCTATTCCAGGGGGTCCTGTGGTGAGGGGAGGCCGAATGTCAGACCCAGCGTGCAACTTACCAACCACACAAACCGCTACGCGGCTAGGCAGGCTCGGCGACGCCGCGTATCGAACGGCCGGCGCCAGTTCCAAACGAGCTGCCGACGCCCCGCCAGTTCCAACAAGCTGCCGACGCCCAGCTGATGACGTTCTGCCTACGACGCGCGTCTTCCTTTCTCCATGACCTACTAATGTGAAGGACTGCTTTGAATCGCTGGCGACGCGTGTGTTCCTCCCTCCCCCTTCCCCCGTCATTAACTAGGGGACTGAGTTGGGCTGATGTGATGTTCGTCGAGTAACCGAAAGGCTGGGTCTGACAGACATGAGGGTGTGGTGTGGGTGGAGTTATACGCTGAGGGGCTTGAGGGGGCGGTGTGGGTGGAGTGGTAACTGGTGATTGGGGGTGTGGACTATGGGTGTGGTTGCGGGGTTTATTTAGCGCACTGGGACGGGAGATCTCCCAGGGCTGACTTTCTTTTCAACTTAGTACAGTAATAAAACGAAAGACTTTGTTGAATCCTGCATCGTTCCTAGTACATGGGTTTCGTGCCTGTAGGTAGGACGTGCTTACAAACCCACAACGAGTGCAACGGGTGCAGCCTATGCAAGACCAGAACTGTTGTCTCATGCAACAGCAAAGAAATACGATTAGCAAAGGGGAGAAATCCTCAGCACAATTCATACAGGAATCAATGATGGGGGTGGGGTGCTGCACTCACAAGGGGTGGCCACAAGACAGGAGGCACTGGGGGATCATCCTATAGCAAAGTGTACCCAGATACGTCCAAAGCAGGCAAAGAGAGTTACAATAAGAGAGGCGGTGATCCCTGAACTTACAAATATACAGATGGATGCGAGACTATTAGAAACAATATGGTCAACTGGGGTGGGTAGACCAGTGATGCGTTCTATGAGCAGCGCCAGTCTTATGAGCAGGCTTTCAAACCTCCAGCATTCCACTCTGACAACGTTGGCAGTTAGCCAACGAAAGCTAAGTTTCTCCAGCATGATGTCAGAAGAATCCACCAATGGGTTGTCTCAGTCCTCCTGCCCAATCAGACCAAGTTGTCAAGTTGTCACGCCTCCTCATTATCTGGGGACCTCCCAGTTTTCTTCTTGGTCTTCGCCCATACAGACGTGATTTCTTGACTCTCTCTACGTTGGAGCAGGTCTGATAGAAAATTTACTAATTGGTGGATCCTTTAAAAGAGTTTAGCAGCTTAATGAGAGTTTTGTTTCCCCTCTGTAAGAATTTGATGTATTCCCCTCCTCAGGGTTAGGTTAAAACTTTCCAAGGAAAGGGGGTGGGTGGGTTTTTCACTTCCCCAGATTCAGTATCCTGCTGAATCAGCAAACAAACCTTGCCCTACACAGTGGGGGGGGAGGTTTAACTTGTACACATTTCAAAGGTGTTGTTGAAAGATCTCAGTTTCACGTGCGCAGTTCCTTTCCTTCTTTCATTTTCGCAGCCTCGTGGCTTCTCCCTGGCCGGGCTCGGCTAGGGACTCTTAGCAGCCACCATTTGAATTTCAAAAGGCCTAATCTCACTTCTAAACACTTTATTATTGCTGCAAGAAGGGAAAGCCCAACGGTGGCCTTACAATCACTTAAAGCCACTGCAGAAGCATTAGGAACCTTGTGGGGCAGCGGTAAAACCTTTTGCGCCTAACGGCTGTTAGGTGCAATCCCCTGCTTCACGCACTGGGCCAATTAGCAGATTCCAATTAACCTCGTTTGTGGCAGTCACTGGTCCCTTGCACTGCAGCATTAATTCTATCCCTCATACCCCCCTTCTTTACCCCCCCTCCCTCCTGTTATTCCCTCCAAGGGAATGTTCACAGAGCCCGCCATTTGGAGGCTCAATCCTCCTGGCAGTCGCCATTTTGAATTTAAATAAATAAATAATAAAAAATAATAAATAAAATAAAATAAATCTAAATTGAATGCAATAATGGGGGTGAACTACAAATGTTAATTGTATTAAACTAGATTGATTAACAAAATTGCTGACTCCTTCATCTGAGTCTTAGTTTCAGCCATCACCTGATCTAGCTGTGAGCAAGAATGTGGTACCAATAGCAGCTCTGGTTCTTCAGCCTGGTTGCCATATTGCCTGTCTGCCCTTCTGCATCTGGTGGCTGTTCCAGCATCCTGACCATCGCCACTACTGTGGGACACGTGTGATTCTTCTCCACCCAATCCACGTAGGTCAGTCCCCTGCGGGGGCCTCTGATGTCCCTTGCAGAACGAATCAGGCCAAAGGCAACTTTGGGTTGATTTCGATGGAAATGGCATACCCTTCTGAGCCACGTTCCTTGGACATGGACGTCATTCCCGCCTCAACTGAGCCGACACCCGAGCCTCCATCAGATAAGGTGAGAGCCAAGTCTAAGCCTGGCAGGAAAGCTGGCACGGCGAGCGACAAACTGGCTGAATGCACCCACTGAGCCCTGGAGAAGCAATTCTCCCAGGCCCAACGCTTGTCTGCTGAAGGAGGTCTCACATTGCCGACCTCCGTACCACCGGACAGGGGAGAGCCTCAACCATCCACATCCAGAGTATGGTCACCAGAGACGGGGTATCAACAGGTCCCAACTCGGACCCTTGGTCAGGTAGGTCCACCCGTGTTTGGGGAGAACTTTGCCTTGCCAGGTTCATCTGCAGCACCCACTGCTGCCAGCACATCACTTGCTGCGGGGTTAAGGCTTCCGCTAGAGCAGTCCGTCTCCGACCAGCTCCAAATGTGGATATCACAGGCAGTGTGCCAAGCCATGGCATCAGCGAGTCATCAACAAGCCCCCTCCGTTCCAGGGCCATCCTCTTCTTCGCACCAACAACTGCCGCGAGGCCTCCACTGGATCAATCAGGTATGGTCTCTCCCTCCCAATCCCCTGATTCGGACCCGGATGTTTCAGATTATGGGGGAGGCAAGGACGGTTGGTCGGATTGCGAGGAACCATCTTATGAATTCCAATCCATGGCGGAGCTTTTTAATGCTTCGCTATTTCCGGCTTTGTTACGCAGAGCGTGCGAGGCAAGTAAGCTTTCCCCTCAGTCAGTACCAACCCCTCAGCCTTCCTCCGATCAGGAAACCAATCCTTTGTTTGCTGTGCCTGTAGACACGCACCTCCATATCCCTTGTCCACAGTTGTTCTTCCAAAATGTGCAGGGTCAGTGGGAATCACCAGCAGCCCAGCCGTCACAGAGCGCATCTGAGCGCAAAATGGTAGACATGCCTAAGGCATTCGGAGACCTACTAGAGGTCCCAAAAGTGGATGAATCGCTGGCACCGCTATTCTCCACTGCCAGCCTTCCAGCTGATGTATCTGACGCCCTTAAGGCAGAAGATAAAAAATCTGAAATGGCCTTATGCAAAGCGCACTTGGCATCTGCCTGGGCTGTGAAGGCAGTGACGGCCACTTCCTTCTTTGCAAGAATCTCTATCACCTGGCTGCGTCAGCTGCAGGATAGAATCCCACTTGAGGAAACTAGAATGCATCAGGACCTAACAAAAATAGTTGCCACATCTGAATACATGGCCGATGCCTCTCTGTATTCAGCCAAACATTCAGCCTGGGCTATGGCTTCCAATGTGATGGCTAGGAGACTCCTGTGGCTAAAGAATTGGAGACCCGAAAGTAAGCATAAGTGGCGTCCGGCCACAGCCCCTTTCAAAGGTGGCAAATTATTTGGGGATGCACTAACGCCGTACTTAGTTGAAAATAAACAGAAGCAAAAGGTGATCTCCCGTGTGGCAAAGAGGTCCACAAGACGGTTCATCCCTTACAGTCGCTGGCAGCCCTTTTGGGCAGGGACAGCAACAGAGTCGGCACAACCATACCGACCGGTCACTCCCAAAGAGGAGCGCCCACTGGACAGGACAGGTTATAGAGACAGGTCCAGGTACCAGCCACAACCCAAACATTCCTTTCATGGCCGAGGGGGTCAGTCCTTCTGCCGAGGCAAATTACTCGGAGGGAAATCCCCCCATTGGTGGCAGGCTCACTCACTTTACTCACCAGTGGGAAAACACGACCACAGACTCCTGGGTGTTGCGTACCATAAGGGAAGGCCTGTCCCTGGAGTTCAAATCCATTCCATTCAATCACTTTGTGTCTTGCCCAGCCATGAGAAACCCAGTAAAGAGGGGACTCATGGAGGATGCTATACAGCATCTACTAGCCATCAAGGCGATAGAGGAGGTTCCCCCAAGCCAGGTGGGGCAGGGATATTACTCAATCCTGTTTTTGTCCCAAAGTCTTCGGGGGGATGGAGGGCAATCCTCGATCTCAAGGGATTGAATCTTCACCTTCATTACAAACGGTTCAAAATGCAAACACTGCACTCCATCCTAACCAGTATCAGGTGGGGAGATTTATTAACATCCATAGATCTGAAGGAGGCATACCTCCACATCCCTATTCTCCCAGCTCATCGCAGGTACTTAAGATTCTGCTATCTCAACCGCCATTTTCAGTACAGAGCCCTTCCTTTCGGCCTCTCTTCAGCCCCCAGGGTCTTTACCAAAATCCTGGCAGTGTTGGCGGCTCACTTGCGGCTGGTCCCAGTCAGGGTCCAGTGCTACCTGGACGATATCCTGATCCAGTCCCCGTCTGTCTCAGCCGCCCATTCGGATTTGACCCTCACTATACAGACTCTTCAGGTCCACAGCTTCCTGATCAACTTCAAAAAGAGCCAGATGAATCCATCTACCCGTCTGCTTCACCTGGGAGCAGTAATAGACATGGAATCGTGTCATGTGTACCTGTCAGAGGAGAGACGCAGGAGCATCAGGGACTTGGCTCGCAAGGTACGCAGGGACAGAACCGTGGCATTAGCCACACTTTCTCAGCTCCTGGGCAAACAGATCTCATGTATAGCAATCGTGCCGTGGGCTCGGCTACATATCCGGGAGCTTCAGTGATTTCTTCTCCCATACCAAAGACAGCATACCAGTACGTCCAACAGACGGGTTTGGGTTCCCCATCAAGTACGGTTTTCCCTTGGCTGGTGGACTTCATCGGCCGTCAGCAAAGGGACCCTGTTCAAAGAACCCAACCGCCTTCAGGTGACCACGGACGCCAGTCTCTTCGGTTGGGGGGCTCATCTCCAATCCCGGATAGCTCAGGGTCAGTGGTCGCAAGCAGATCTCAAACACATTATAAATTGGTTGGAGCTCAGAGCGATTTATCTAGCTCTTCAAAAATTCCACACAGAAGTCAGGGGCCAGCATGTACTGATTCAAACAGACAACGTGGCTGCAAAGGCCCACGTGAACCGGCAGGGGGGCACATGGTCGAAATCCCTCATGACGGAAGCCCGAGCATTGGGCACCTGGGCAAAGAAACACCTGCTCTCCATCAGAGCCGAACAAATTTCGGGGGAGGCAAATCGACAGGCAGATTTCCTCAGCAGGTCGACAATAGATCATTCGGCGTGGATGCTTCATCCAGATATCTTCAGGGAGATATCAGCCAAATTCGGCAGTCCGATCATGGACCTGTTTGCTGCCCTGGAGAACACTCAACTTCCCAGATTCCTTTCCCGGTTCCCTTCTTGGGGAGCAGAAGGAACAGACGCGCTTAGCAGCAGGTGGCCAAAAGGCCTATTGTATGCCTTCCCCCCATTGCCTCTACTTCCTGCAGCAATCAGGAAGCTCCTGGAGGAACAAGCGGAGGTGATCTTCATCGCCCCTTTCTGGCCCAGGAGACCATGGTTCGCGGATCTGGTGAGTCTTTCATTTTCAGCTCCATGGAGGATTCCCGACAGTCAAATATGGCTGATACAGGGAGATCTACAACATCCAGATCCACAATGGCTTCAACTGACCGCCTGGCACTTGAACGCCGCACCCTAACCAGGGAATCTTACTCAGCGGAGGTGATTGCTATGATACAGGCGGCCAGGAGACCTGCAACGAACCGGCGTTATGGCCGTACATGGAAGCATTTCTGTCAATGGTGTGATAAGAAACACGTATGTCTATCACAGGTGACGATTCCCAGGGTTCTGGAATATTTAATGGAGGGCGTCAACAAGGGGTTGGCACCCAACACTTTGTGCAGACAGTTAGCAGCCCTGTCCTTAATTTTGTCATGGGACTCCTCAGGCTCCTTATCAAGACATCCAGCCATTTGGGCTTTTCTTAAAGGGGTCTCAAATACCAGACCACCTGTAATTCACAGGTATCCCTCCTGGGACCTACCCCGAGTGCTTCAAGCTCTAACATCTTCTCCTTTTGAACCACTCAAAACATGCTCATTACGTGCTCATCCACGCCCTCCCTAAGTAGAAGTCAGTCAGGTCCGGGTGGAATGATTGTTCTGTTAGTTATCGTTACTACCTGCTTGAGAGTCATCACGTCATACTGTTGTCAATGGCTTCGCCCGTCGATGAAAACTGGGAGGTCCCCAGATAATGAGGAGGCGTGACAACTTGACAACTTGGTCTGATTGGGCAGGACTGAGACAACCCATTGGTGGATTCTTCTTCATGCTGAGAAAAGGCGTTCAGGTAAGCCAACACTCATTATCAAACAGTTATTAGTTTATTAAACAGTTGTTTTTATTCCGGTGTTCAACTACTTTTCTCAACATGAATATACCCAGGATTCACATTTTTAGTGAGGTCTGCCTGTAAAACATGCTCCTAGATTGGAGCAAAACGCAGAACAGACTGATTTATATTTGGTAGACCAGGTGCCTCACCCAACAGATTAGATAGATAGATAGATAGAGAGATAGAGAGATAGATAGAGAGATAGAGAGATAGATAGATGCACATGCCACACTGCAACCGTTTTTAATTGTTATGTAAATTTATGCACATACTCCCTTGTCATTTAGCCCTTTGCTCTGATGATGTTAACAGGTTGTTAACGAAAGCTTAGCAATAAAAAAAGCCTTTTGCCTTACATTCCGGAGTTCACTATTTTGTCTTACTGACTTTAAATGTCCATACCTGGGATTCCAATATTCAAATATATATATATGTATGTATGTATGTATGTACAATGTACATGTATATGTATATATATGTATGTATGTATGTGTGTGTGTGTGTGTGTGTGTGTGTGTGTATTTGTATATATATTTGTTTTCTGAGGTTTTCGCGGGTGTTTGTATGTAGGTCTTTGGTTATTCGGGTTTTCTCCCACATAAAATTGGAAGTGTCTGGAAGTGCAGGCAGACCAGCAATCTAACATGGAAAATAAAAAGGAGGAACTCCGTGGCAGGACTCGTGTGATGCCAGATCAGAGGGGACAACTTACATTGAGTAGAGAGGAGGGATTGGAGGGTGTGTTGATAATAACAGCGCAGAGAGGAGGAGGCAGCACAAGGGTAACAGAGCAGAAAAATGAAAAATTGGAATGCAAGAAAGAGACAGCAGAACAGTTAAGGCAGTTACAGGCAATCAGGAAGAGTGGCCCCATCACACGGACAATGAGCAGGCAGTTAGATCGGCAGGAGAATAAAACGAACTTCCCCACCCCTAAGCCCCACTCTGAGGACGCTGGCAGAGGACCAGCGAAAGCTAAGTTATTTTAACCTTGTATATAATTGTTTTTTATTGTTTTAAATACTGTTTTAACAATAAATAACTAGTTTATAACCTTCCTGGAGATCGAAGATTGCATCATTGAAAACAAATATGCCCGGGATTCGTATTTTTACAACCATTAAGGACATATATATATATATATATATATATATATATATGTGTGTGTGTGTGTGTGTGTGTTTTCTGAGGTCTTTAGTTATTCGGGTTTTCTCTCGCGTAAAATTGGAAATGTCTTGGTGACGTTTCGACAAAGTCCCATTCGTCATCTTCAGGCTGGTGTTTTCGGCTTCATGCTTCTAGGAGCAATGTGTGATCATAGCTATTTTTTCCTTTTAACTGCCAGTGGGGGTATGAACTGATTGGGTGGGAGCTTGGCTGTGTTCTGATTGGGTGGAGGTGTGTTCTGATTGGTTAGGGCAGTGGTAGTCAACCTGGTCCCTACCACCCATTAGTGGGCGTTCCAGCTTTCATGGTGGGCGGTAGGGGTTTTGTCCGATACTGAAGCACTTTCCTTTGTTTTAAATTTAATTGACTTTTTAAAAAAATTTCATAGCATTATTTAAAAACATTTTCATTAAGTTTTCATAAAATTCCCCATGACAATTTAAATTTCTGAAAATATACTATTTGTATCGCCCATGCATAAGTTTAGTTCACGCTACATAAGTGAAACTAAATGGCGCTATAGTGCGACTGCAAACAAAAGAGCCTCATCTCAGAATAGCTCGTGCATCTCCCCCCACACCACCCAGCTGTAACAGACAAGTAGAGCTGGTAGCCAGCACCCCCCCAAACCCAATCCACGATGCGCGAGAGGCATGCACAGACGACATGGCACAGGCTCTTTTATTTGTGGTCGCACTGGTCAGTACACAGATTTGTGAGAGTGAGCACGTGCATACAGCTTCAAACAAAATATTGTGAGTCCATGTCTCAAAAAAAGAAATATGCTCGTGGCTATTTGCCAGAATATCTGAAGATGTGTTTCATAGAATCTGTTGTAAATAAACAACATCCAATGTGTTCATTGTGTCATAAAACATTATCCAATGAGGCAATGAAGCCAAGTCGATTGCGAGAACATCTTTCTACAAAGCATACAAATGATAAGGACAAGCCTATTGAATATTTTCAGGAAATATATAAAAAATTTCAAAATTGTTCAACAATCGTTGCATCATTTAAGAAACAACATGCAGCGAACGAAGATAAATTAATTGCCACTTATTGCATTTCTCAATTAATTGCAAAAAGTGGTAAAAGCTATAATATTGGACAAACTGTAATAATACCCTCTATAAAAGAATTTATCTCAACAGTAATGCATTAGGATATACCTGAAATTTTAAAAACGTTGCCCCTAAGCAATAGCACACTAAAGTGACGAATTGATGAAATGGCAGTTAATGTTGAAAAAAAACTGATAAGTATTCTCCAAAACTCTTCATTTTCCATGCAATTGGACGAGTCTACCATTGCAGATAATAACGCTTTATTGATGGCATATGTACGTTATTTTGATGAAAACAATACTTTACGAGAAGAAATGCTATTTGCAATAAATCTCATTACAGATACAAGAGGATTACCTATATTTAATACTGTGAAATCATACTTTACAAAAAATAATATTCCTTTGAATAATATTGTTGCATGCGCTACTGATGGAGCACCATCAATGGTAGGTCGCTATCGTGGACTTGTTGCTTATTTGAAGGAAGAAGTGCCAAATGTTTTATGTATTCATTGTGTGGTGCACAGACAACATCTTGTAGGAAAACATCTAAGTTCAAGTCTCCATTCATCATTAACTATAATAATTCGAGACATAAACAAGATCAAATCCAATGCAAAAAATGATAGAATCGCCCGGTAGCGATTTCTCTCCGTTTTTCTGGCGGATTGGGCCAAATGACGGAATCGTCTCCTGCTTGCCTCGTGGCCACGAGGTCCATTGACGATCGGGCCATGAGTGGCCTAAGCTACAGAAACACAAGTTATTAGTGCCTTATGAATTGAGAGGGGGGAGAAGAAGATAATTGCTCCCTTGGACACCTGAACAAAATAATAATAAGACTTGTATATTGATTGAGTTCGGCTTTAAGGGCATCGCCATTTAGGTCCCAAGCAGACTTACGGCCGCCATTTTGAGTACTGTGGTTCGGGGTGTGGTCGCCATCTTGGAGAGGCCTTTTCCCAAGACTGATTTCAGGCCGATTTTTCTTCAGTAGTCCACTGGGTTGGGCTCTTGAGGGGGTGTTTTCAGACAATTATTCCACCTTGCCTTGCAAGGATTCCACAGAGGGAAGTTGTAATTTTTGATTGAGTCACTCTGTTTCCATTGCCTGCTTTAATCCTGTGGGAAAATTATCAGACCTGTTCTCATTAGCTTGCACCACTGTGTCAGCAGGGCCTAAGCAGACAGTTTTAGGGCGCTGTCTGGCTGTTTGCCATTGTGGTTATCTTAGGGCGTGGGAAGCTTCCCTCCTGGACAACTAGATCTGCGTGTTTACCCCCATCCCAAGGCTTCTCCTATCTGGAAAGTCCAGTGCACAATGGCAGATAGTGAAACTCCTCAGACTTCGCAGGGTTCTGATGTTCCCCCCACACAATCTAAATGCAGATCTTCTGATTTGAGCACGGGGGAAAGAAAAAGGCTAAAACCAAGCATTTATTTACCAAAGAATCCTCCAAGACTGCTGAGCGAGAGGCCTCGAGGAGACGTCAGGCACTGGAGAAAGAATTCTCCAGAGCTCAAAGGCTCAGGTCTAGAGAAGCTGAAGTGGTTCCTCCTGCTCCTCTGGACAATTCACCATTTGAGACTTTACAGGTGCCATCTTATCAAACCCCCAGGGCTTGGTCTCCTCAAGGAGGAACTGAACAGGTCGGACTCCCTCCTCCCCTTCCCACCTCTCCACCTTCCCCTCCTGCCTCTCTGGTTCCTTCTGCTTCTATGACCCCACAGGCTCCTGATGCCTCCGCTGTTGGGGTTGGCCCTGCAGAACATGATTTATGGACATAGCAATTCAATTTTTTCATGCATCGGGCCTTCAACCAATTTATGACTTCTTCCATGAGTCAAAGGTTTTCACAGACTCCACCTCCTCCACCTCCACCCTTGCCCACTGGTTGATCTGGACAGATCCAGTCAGTGGGCTCGGGTATTTCAGAGTCTTCTTCTCAACTAGGTGAGGAGGAGTCTGTGGATTTGGAGACAACTGATATCCCTATGTCAGAGGATGAGGCGGCACCGGATCCAACTCCATCAGCAGGTCTTTTTGATCCTTCTCTATTTAGATCACTATTATTAAAGGCCTGCACCACAGCCAATTTGGTCACAGAGCAGGAACCTAAGCCATCTACTTCCACTGCAGAGGAGTCTAATCCTCTGTTTGCTGTAAAGGTTGTGGAGGACAAACCTTGTCCTGCTGTTTTCCGCACTATGGTGGAGAAACAGTGGACTTCATTGGCCACTCTACCTCCTCCCAGCAGCACGGAAAAGAAACTGTTTAACGTTTCTTCTGCATTTTCTTCCCTCCTAGAGGTGCCTACAGTGGACGCTGCCTTAACCTCTTTGTTCTCCACATCCACGGTTCCTGGAGACATGGCTGAGAACCTGAAGGCAAAGGATAAAAGGTTTGAGTTTTCTCTCCGCAGAGCTCATCAGGCCTCAGCCTGGGCCATCAGGGCGGCAACGTCCTCGTCTTTTTTTACGAGAACTTCAATCATGTGGCTCCATGAGTTACAGGCTTTAATTCCTCCGCATCAGGTGCGTGCACAACAGACCCTAAGTAAGCTGGTTGCTGCGGTGGAATACATGTCAGATGCATCCCTCCATTCAACCACGTTTTCCACTAGGTCTATCGCAGCCACAGTAGCATCCCATAGATTTTTGTGGCTCAAAGAGTGGAGGGCT